CTCTCGATTGGTTGCCTCCTGCATAAGCCCTGACCAGGGCCTGGGTCCAGGAAAAGCCTGCAACGGAGGTACGTACCCTTGACTGGAACTGAACCTGGGGCCCTTCAGTCCAATGCTCTATCCACTAAGCCAAACCAGGTAGGGCACACTTTGCTCTTTTCTATATCTTCTATCTATCTCTTTATATTATGATCATGCTTTCCTTTAAGTTCCTCAACATATTTATAATAGCTGTCTAAAATTCTTGTCTGCTTTCAATCATTATTGTTTTTTTAGTCTAATTTATATTTCCTGATTTTGATTCCCACTTTCCTGCTTCTTCCCGATAATTGCTAAGTGTTTAAATTTTCTGTTCTCCTTTTAAAGAGCAGCTTTACTTGGAAGACAGTTAAATTGCCTGCAGATCAGCTTTCAAGAGTTGAATTTAAGCTCTGTTAGTATGGACTTATGGTGGCCTTTAATCTAGGGCTATTTGGCCTTAATATCGAGGCATGGCCATTCTGGGGTCTCTATTAACTGTACCTGGTATTCAAAAAGGTCTCACTACTGTGTGGGATCAGAACTCTACCATCTCTCAATTCTTTGTTAGTGCTGGGACTTGTTTAGCCTATAGCTTCCTAGTAGTTTGTTCTGTTCTCAGTAAGAGTTTTTTGACCAACCACTTGAAATCTAATTCTAAGTATTCAGGGCATAGTATTCTGCTGGAGACTCACTGAGACCCATGCAGATGTTTGGGGCCCTTTATCTGGGCAATGCCCTTCTCTCTGATGCACTGGCCCACAAAGTCCAGCCACCACATCCTCCCTGATCCCCGATCTGTTTCCCCAACTCAGTGAGACCACCCTGCTCTGCTTAGAATCCCCTTCCACTTACTGTGTACGATCCAGAAAGTTTCTCCAGGCAGAAAACCAGGGACATACATATTAGGGCTCTCCCCCTTTGTTTCTCTTCTCTCAGTCATCAAAATTCTGCATTGCTAGTTGTGCAATGTTTGCAAACAGATGTTTCATAGACTGTCCAGTTCTTCCTTTATTTACAATGAAGAAAGGCATCTAGGACCCGGGCTTACCTCGCAGCCCTGGCTTGTCTGGAATGATATCCGGAATGATGTCCAGTTTAATTAGCATATTATTGTTATTAATATAGATTGTTTCCCATCAAACACTCAGAGTTTATATCTTACAGAGGAGATAAATAAACGCACAATAACAACAGGAAGTACAGGATGGGGGTAGACATTTGGACCATAGTTCTTCAGAAGAAGACTTTACACAGACTCTAGACTTCTAGCTGAGTACAGAAGCGATGGTACCCTTTCGATAGGAAGGCATTCCTTTTTCCTCCTGATTGAAGCATACTCTCTAGAACAGCACTT